AGGATCTTGTTGCGGCTGTGGCGGCTCCGCTCCCGCTGGCAGCAGTCCAGGTAGCTGATGCAGATCTCCTGGGGGCAAAGGGATCAGGTTGGGCTGAGAAGCTCTTCCCCTGAACCCACGGGCACCATTTGTACCCGTCCCCCTGGGAGCCAGGGCCTGGCAGTGCCTGCGTGGGATATGGGGGGAGTTCTTCTGCCAGGAGGACAGAAGGAGATGGGAGATATGGGGCTGGGGCTCGGGGGGCACACAGGGGACATGGGGACCCTCTGCCATGGCATGGCACCCCAAGCTTGGGCTTGCTGTCTCACCTCTCCTGCTTCAATGTCCTCCAGAGCTGTCAGGTGGAGGAGGAAGTTGTTCTCTGGGAAGGATGTCTCAGCGTTGGGGATGCAGCTGTGGTTACCTACAGGAAAGACAGGACACAACTGGGAGGGTGTCTCCAGTGAGCAAAATGTCCTGGAACCACCCCAGGGCTGTAGAGCAGCAGCTCCACAGCTGGGTGCTGAGGGAAGGGTGAGCAGAGCTGTACTTCCCCCTCCATCCTTCCCTCCCTCCCTCTCTCCCTCCCTCCCTCCCTCCCCAGCTCTCCCAGCAGGGAGTTCCCAGGCCCTGCTCAGCCCCACAACACTTAGAGGTGAAAGAAGACAGCTCCAGGCACTGGGACATCCTCTCCTTGTCCTCATGGCCTGGCCAAGAAAGGCTCCCTCCCTCCCTTCATGGTTTGTTCAGCTGCTTTGCTCACACAAGGTTGGAACGCGGTCTCTGTGCTAACTGGGAAGGTGGATCCCAGAGCCTGTAGCACATCCAAGTCTCTTCAACACAACTTGGATGGCTTTTCAAGCCATTCAAGGCCAGGTAACAGCTTCAAGTTGCCCCAGGGGAGGTTGAGGTTGCCCCTGAGGAACAATTTCTTGCCCTGGAGGGTTGCCCAGGGCTGTGCCAGGCTGCCCAGGGCAGTGGTGGAGTCCCCACCCCTGGAGGGGTTTCCAAGCTGTGGAGATGTGGGGTGAGGGACACGGGGCAGTGGGGACCTGGCAGGGCTGGGGGATGGTTGGACTGGATCTTAAAGGTCTCTTCCAACCAGAACAATTCTGTGATTCTCTGACTGACCATTTCATAGCTAGGCGAGATGCCAAGAGACCTGAAAGCAGCCAGGCTCCAGGGAGCTCCCACCCCACCCCACCCCACCCCATCCCTGCAAAGTGTAAATCCCTTTCTCCAGAGGCTTTTAAGAAGAAGTGAGTCAGTCTAGCCCAGGACACCCCCCTACTCACTCCCAGTTTTCCTCCCTGTCCTCGAGGTACTTACAGCAGCTCTGGAGCACGTAGAGACCTGACCCCTCACAGTTGAGGAACTCTCCTGACTCTGCAGCAGAGAGAGGAGCTGTTAGAGCTCTGCATGGGCCATCCCAGCTCAGCACAAGCACGATGGGATGTTGGGGGCTGGGTGCTGGAGGCTGTTTTCCAAAGCACCCTCCTTCCCCCCCCACCAGGAGGGGTGTGGCACATGATTTCCACCCTCAGGCTCCTTGTTCTCATACAGTTAAAAACAGTGCTAAACAGGTTTTTGAAGGTTTAGTGTAAATGGGACTTTGGTGCACAGGATCCCTTCAGACCAGCCCTCCAGCCACCCTGACCTCCTGCAAGCTGTGCCAGCCACAAACCTGGACCTGTCCTACAAGGCAGGAGGCAGGGCTCACGTGGAGAAGGAGAAGTGGCCAGCAGGAAGCCCTCCCAGACCCCAGGAGCAGAGGCCCCAGCAGGTCCCACAGGCCCAGGATCCCCTCACCCTTCTCAATGTCCTTGTAGAGCTGGTCGATGAAGGCATCCAGCTGCTCCCTCTGCAGCAGGGGCAGGTCCAGCGCGTCGCACGCGTGCACCCACTGGCTCAGGGAGCTGTGGGGAAGCAGAGGGACATCCCCAGGGTCCCACCATGCTGTCAGCACATGGTGGGACCCCACAGCAGGGATCTAAGGGTCAAACTCGGTGGTGTGGAGCATCTGAGGTCTGGCAGAGGGGTGCACAAGGGTTGGGCAAAGCCCAGATGAAGGGTGGTTTTTAGGTTGGCTTCTCCCAGGGCAGAGTGGATTTGGCAGCGTGGGCCCAAGTGGCCAAGAAGCCACCAGCATCCTGGCCTGGGTCAGCAC